CCCCCCCCCCCCGTACTGTACCCACATTTTAAAGGAGAGTGAGAATCTTTAAACTTAAAAAAAATGAAACAGAATGATAAAATGTTGACAGGCAAATCCTTAATGTAAGTGTTTTTATAAGACAAACGTCCTTTTTTCCTTTAATACATGTACAATGCTGTGAACATTGTCTTTGCCTCATGTGCTTAGGATTTTAGCCTCATGGCAGAGACATCTGTCTTCAATCCAAAGGAGCAAACAAAAGGGCCCAAATCAAATGATCGCCATCCAATAATAATGTTCAAAGGATATTTTTTTTCCACCCTCTTTTTCTGAAAATTGCTCTGTTTGCAGGAAACAGTGATTTATTTGGTCTCTTTTTAAGTCTGTCAGCATGCCTGTGCAGGTGCTGCCTGTTGGAACACACACGCACACACGCACGCGCACACACACACGCACGCGCACACACACACACACACACACACAGTAAAATCAGTAAAGAAAGAAAGTAAGGAGAGAGGGAATTATAGTGGAAGGAAGTGAGGTATGAACAACAAAGAAAATGCCCCGAGATAGGAGAGAGGGATGGAAGCAAAATGATAAGGACGGGAAGGAGGGAAGAAAAGAGCACAGAAGATGGGTGTCTGCAAAAATGGAAACACCCTGAGCAATGTGTTGGAGCCGTGACTTCTAAGGCTCTGACATATTGCTACAGACATGATCAGTCAGCACATTTTTTTACAGTACGGGGCTCATCACCGATGGTTAAAATGCAAATACTGCCTATTGAGCCTACAGAACAACTACATGTTGCTGCTATTTAAAACTCAGGTGGTTTATGATGGACCGCTGGCCGGGATAAACTTTCTGTGGTGGTTCCTCACATGACACGATTATTGGCATGTTTTTATAAGCCAGCATGCAGTGTTTCTAATGTGCTACATACACCCAAAATGAATTGTTCATCAATCCAGACACGTCAGGGGATGCATTAGACCATGTTAACAACAAAGTATTCACTTTGTCCATCCACAGAAATATAAAATGAATGTGGACCCTCCATGATCACGGTCAAATATTTGTCAAAAATGAATTGTCAAGATACTCATCCATGGGGGACAAATGGAAAATAAAAGATATTTCCTTTTTAAGTCAATCCGAAGGTGGCTTTATTCACGCCTGCAGTACTTTGAACAAAAAATGTCTTCTCTTCTTTCTCCGTCTTTGAGTCCACAACATTCTTCATAGTTTCCCATACAAAATATCTTGATTGGGAGGCCATGTTGTAGTGTTTGATTTTCTGATTTCCTGAATAGTCTGTTCTCTTTTAATTGTATCCTGCCTAGCCTTTCTTTTTTGTAAGGAACTGAATGTAATAGTAATCACTATCCTCTCAGCAGAAGCGCTAAAAGTGAAATGTCTCCAGAACCTTGAGATTGTAATTAAATGCTGAACTGCACCAACAGAAAACATGAAAGTGCAAAACTTTGATTGAATTGAGATCTTGATGAATGGAAGCATATTGTATGACTGAGGCAGCTTGCTTCTGTTGAATTGAAACCGAACGAGATATTCCAGCCTGGATAACAAAAGCAGTATAGCCTTGCTAGTGAAGGTGCTGTAGATACTCATATTGTACTTAAACTAAGTTAAGCATTTTGTGTTTGTATACGGTCACATTATATCAACAATGTGTGTCAGCAGATGGAATGAGTAGATCTGTTTCAATATGCAATGAAACAAGGTTGTTCTGTCCGCTCAGTTAAAGCAAATAACCCTCATTTCGAACACGTTTCTAGCAGAGGTATAGAAGAAGAATATTAAGCAAAAATGTGAAGTCCTTAAAGTAAATCAGAAAAAAACATGTTTTTAAGTGAATATGCATCCTTCCTAACTCACAAGCTCATCATTCGCAAGAAACAGACTAAATCAAACCAAAAGAGATGCAGAGATTGAGAAGAAAGTAGAAAAGATGATTGCCATGGATATTAATCCTGTTGTTTTCATAGGTTACAGTCAGCATATGGCTGAGGACACACACACACACACAGATGGCCACGTCTATAGATGAAAACGCATTTGCACAAATGCTGCATTAAGGGCTGATGTTTCATGAGTCAATAATCGTGTATGTGTTTGATTTTGTGTTTTCTCTCCATGTAGGTCGGGGAGAGGCAACATGTGTTGGTGACGGAGGAGTCATTTGATGCTCAATACTATGTGTCTCACAACAAGTTCTACGAACAGGTAAGATAATTGTTCAAACAACAAAACTGTAATAAATGACTTGGACGCATACTCCAGAGGGCATGTACGTATGTCTTTCACCAGCACATTACATGCATTACATTTCATATATTTAAACAACCAATATGATAAATTGTTGTCCAACTTTGTTCATCAAACTTATAATCAAGCTAAGTTGCTCTGGCTGGTATGATGGCAAAATCTGCTGAAGAAAGATTCAGCGAGCTGGATGTTTGTTGACACTTTGGCATCCTAAAGATGAATCCTAAAATAGTTTAGTTGGCTTACAGACTCTATCCACCATCGAACACGTATAGTGAAAAGCAGTAAATTAATCTGTATTTGATGAAAATGTTCCCGTATGTGAAGCTAATCCAACCCTCCCTCATTTTCACACTTAGTAAATCAGGTCATAAGCTTTGCTTTGCATGTGACAGAGTACTCACAGCAGGTGTCAAAAGCTTAAGCATGTATTGACTAAAGTAGGTTAGCTTTAACATCACAAATACACACACACACACACACACACACACACACACACACACACACACACACCCTGCAGTGGTCATGAGCGCATTTGGCTGCTGATAGCGGCAGTACTTTTTGCTTCTTTTTTTTTACAGTTTTAACATTAAGGTCAGCCCTAAAGACATGCACATTCCATCCTACACACACATACAGCTGTTCATATACACACATCCACATGGCTTCAAAGACCCTCGACCTGTGAAAAATTCACTTTAAGACATCTTCAAATAAATCAATTTCCTCCTGCTTTAACCATCATCAGAAACATGTTTGAAGTTATGCTTTTTATTAGCAGGGAGGGCAGGGGATGGTAATCATTTTTCCTCCCCTCCACTTTCCTCTCCTCCCTTCCTCTCCTCCTCCTTTGCACCTCCTTCTGCGGGCTATAAACTTAAGTTACAAGTGTCACTCGGTTCATGTGTGTGTTGTGACGTGCCGACTCCTCCATGCATGTGTGCGTATATGCAGGCATGTGTGTCATGTGTGTCAGTTGACTTTACTCAAGAGGAAAGCACGTTGATATGTTTGATGTTTTCCCTCTCCCATTTTTTTGGGACATAAATTATTTGGCATGTACTCCTAAATCACACTTGAAAAAAGAACATGAAAACACGACGTACCAATATGTTCTTGAATCTTTCCCCCCCAGGGGATACACCCCCGTATCATGTTTACTGTATGTCTACAGTCACAGGACACATACACACTACAGAGGTCTGACTCACATCGCAAGTTGTATTTTGATAACGTCCTGTTATTTTTCCTCACTTGTGTATATATATTAATATTATTCTCCATATCGTTGTTGTTTTTTGCGCTATAATGCGATCACACTTGAACATTAAAGTTTAATCAACACTGTCTATCACTGTGGATAACAACATCCCAAAGATTTAATAGAAAAGGAAGAATAAAGGGAAAGTAGGATAAGATAGAAAAGCCTGCATTGATCCCCTGAGGGGATATCTGGTGTTACAGCAAATAAATAGAGAAGTAATAATAAAGAATAAATAACATAGAGATATATACAACTAGTGTAAGAATAGATAATAGCTGCGGGTCTAGTATATATGTAAACAGTGTACACCAAAATAATATATACTAAAGTTAAGTTATAATCGTTAGTTTTGTTTGTATTGATATAACAAAATATAAATATAATATAGTATATGATGTGGTAAGACAGTACAACATATTTACATAGTATAGTAGTATAGTATGGTTTTAGACATAGTGTAAGATGCAATGTAATGGTAGTAATAATAATAATTAGAATATAATACAGTTTTACATATAATATAGTATAAAAAGAGAACAGCAAAACATTGAAGAGTTCATTTAGGAGGATCGGGTGGTTAAGGGAGAAATATGGGGAAGTCGAGGATCAGGAAATGAAAACAGTAGTGGGAGCAGAGACAAGGGACTAACGGAGGTGGAAAGGGGGGGGGGGGGCGGGGAGAGTGGGTGGAGTGAAGTGGGGAATACGGTAGAGAGGTGTGAGTGTGAACAAATGGCCTAGTTTCACTTTTACACCATCGGATGGATATCTGTCCTGACGGGTATAATAGGCACCCGACCCACCTGTGTGTGTGTGTGTGTGTGTGTGTGTGTGTGTGTGTGTGTGTGTGTGTGTGTGTGTGTGTGTGTGTGTGTGTGTTTGTGTTTTCGTGGTTCAGTGAGGAAGTCGGGTGGGGGGGGGTTCCAATGTAATCGGACAAGCTCTTTCATCATTTAATCACCCTGTAATGGGCTTCACACACACACACTCACTTACCTTCCTCCCCCACAGCCCTGCTGTTTTACCTCTCTGCTCTCAGCCTACAAACACATACACACACACACACGCACCCTCACAGTGGCCAGAGTGTCGAGCAGCAGGTGTCTTGATTAGGCAGGTGTGGCGCTGGCTGTGTGTCTGCCTGGGCCGATCTCCGATCATATTCCACCATCTGGATGAAGACTGACAGATTAACACTGAGCCAGGCTTACTCCTGCCGTCACAGCAGTAGCACTCCCTCCACCAGTTCACAAGCTCGTCTCTGCCCAGTCAGTATCTTAGCCCTGCAGAGTCGTAGACAGGCCACCAGGTGATCTGAGTCAGCAAGCAACCGCCCTGCTGAAGTGAACTTGGGCAAGACAATGAATCCTCAGCAGCTCCAAGGTTTCTGTTCTATACCTGATCTTAGGTCTAATGAATGATCCCATTATTATTAAAGAAGTAAATCGTTACTCAAACAGCTGTGAACGGCATATAGCATTGCAAATCTGTCAACTGTGTGGTTAGTTTGAAAATTGTTTTTGGAAGGAAAAGCATTAGATCTTTATTTACAGGGGTAAGCCATTAAGAACAAATTCCGTTTCACACTAGGCCGTAATTATAACTCTTTGTTTTCTTTTCCTTCCTGCTGAGATTTATGGTGAAATAATAAGACAAACCAGCAAAATCCCGATGGTTTATCTCACAGCTGTTGCCGTAGTTTTTCACCTTGAGGGCTTCTATAAATGGAACTGAAAACACTCAGCCCTGGGTTTGTCTGTAAGCGGGCAGGGACTGGCTAAATAACAATGTGGGAGAGCATTGGGGAAAACAGTTTTAGAGCGGCGGTTAATTGAAAATGTAATCGACAGATGTGGTGAAATATGCAGAGGGTTGATTATTTGTTGATTATTTGTTTATTTATTGTTTGATTATTTGAAGGTGATATAGGTGGGTCTTTCTAGTTGAATAACAAGTGAATGAGCAAGTTGCTGGATATACAGTACGTCACCTCTGGTCACTAAGGTACAGTCACTGCTACAGTGAGTGAAATTCCACATTGTGAATTATGATTCATTGTGGTTCTTTTTGAGGGTTATACAAATGTGCAGTGGTATCAGTTATGATGTGTGGCTCTTTGGTTTGCAGGTGCTGGTGCCTAAGAGGGCTGAGTTCAAAGGGAAGATGATTGAGGTGGACATCTACGAGGCAGGAAAACACTTCCTGAAAGGCCGACCGGTAGAAGAGAGTAAGCCCTTCACTCCCTCCATTGCCAAACCACTTCAGAAGGGAGAGGTGTCCGGCCTGATGCAGGTAAACGCACACAAATACAGTTCAATGCAGGCCTCGAGTCACATCATTTTCCAATTAAATGCTGCAGTTCAGTACATCAAAATAAATGTGCACAAACAGTTTCATGTATGTAAGCACAGTCATCACTTCATGGCTGTACCACAAAATATGAAGTAAACTGTAGCAAACAGTTTAAAATAGCGTTTACTGGGTGGTTGACATAAAACAAAAGGAACAGCACAACATTTGGTTTGAAACTAAACCTGACCTGGAGATCAACCTGAAGGGGCTAAATACAAGATTGGAAGCATTTCTATTGCCTCCCAACGGCTCTCAACATGGCAGCGGCTGAGCAGGCAGCTCGCAGCTAACAGCGGTAACAGCGGTACCATTGCAAACAACGGCGTCGGTAATGACAGAGCTAACCGTGTTTTCCTGAGGGTGAGTGCTACGCTTCTGTAACGATTTATCAGCTGTAACTGGCGTATGAGTATGAGCCATGAGCCAGCCAATGGAGCACGCTCACATGCACTGGGCCTGGCTGTGTCAACAAAGCCAGGAGAAGCTCAGATTACAACACACACACACACACACACACACAGGGAGAGTGACTTCAATCTCTGCTCAGGTAGACATTACTCTGCTGTATCTTCATACAGCAAAGAGTTGTTGGCTGCTATATTAATGCTCTGATTATAGAATTTAGAACTTTAAATGTCAGGAATAAATAGAACTACTGGTAAAACATGACATAAAAGAGAGTATGTGGGAACTAGAAAGGAAAGAGAGTAATGCTGGTACACAGGTTAAGACACTTTTTCAACTAGAGGCCATCTTGCGTTGGGATCACACCAGCCGCGACTCTACATCGTGCCAGGGCAATAAAGTGTCAGGTTCCAAAGTACTGTTTGTGACCAAGACGATCTGATCTCTTGATGCATGTTCCATGGTCAGATACAGAGACAATAGATCACAAGATGCGATACACTGTGTTGTGAAGTCCATTCAATGCAATTTGATTCAGCTGCAAATTTATAATAATTAATCTAAGATTACATTATTTTACACAAAAGAAAGCATATAAGTTTTAACTGGATGGATTTTTCATTGGGTTTTGTTAACCTAAGTTAGACATCAATCTTAATTTAGTTTATGAGCGCATATTGTTGTAAATAAAACAGAGTATGATTTCAGATATTGTCTTCAGTCAGATGGATTTAGGGGCCAGGTTGCTTTGGAGTTTTAGCTGTTAGCATTATTCATCTTTGGTTGGTTGTTACTCTCCATAACTTTACAGTCAATGCCCAAATCCCAAGCTCACCGACTCGTTTCAATTCAATTTTACACCAAATGTTGTTTTGTGTCTGTGGTGCTGTATCTTTATGAGTGTACATGTGTCTACCAGATGTCTACTGGTCTTTTTTAGGTAATGAGAGGACCTTTCTGTCAAGCCCTCAAACTGTGTGTTCTTTCCTTATATTAACTATAAAAGTTGTATTTACAACAGGCTATTCTAATTTTGTTCAGTCAGCAAATTAATTAGGTGTGTGTGTGGGTGTGGGTGTGTGTGTGTGTGTGTGTGTGTGTGTGTGTGTGTGTGTGTGTGTG